TATCAGCTGGAGAGTCAAAGTAATAAACAGAAAGGAGGAGAAGGGCGGGGGAAACAAATGGGGAAAAAGGGAGCGAGGGTTAGAAATTAGAGGGGGGGGTGAATAATAAAATAAGTATGAGCACGGGGGGTTGAAAGCAAGTTCCTTGTGAGGAGGTGTCCCTATCTCAGAGGTCAAATAATACACTAAAGTATTAGCACGGGGTTGAAACAAGTGTCCCTTGTAGAGAGGTTCGTCCCATCTCAGAGGTCAATAAACAATAAAGTATTAGCATGGGGTTGAATGAAACAAGTGTCCCTTGTAGAGAGGTCATCCTATCTCAGAGGTCAAATAATACACTAAAGTATTAGCACGGGTTGAACAAGTGTCCCTGTAGAAGAGGTCGTCCTATCTCAGAGGTCAAATTAATACACTTAAAGATTAGCATGGGGGTTGAAACAAGTGCCCTTGTAGAGAGTCGGTCCCTATCCGGAGGCGTAAAAAATAACAAAGATACGATGGGGTTGAACAGAAGTCGTCTTGTAGAGCGCGCGGATGACGTCCCCGCTATCGGAGGTCAAGTAATACACACAAAGTATTAAGCATGGCGGTTGAAGACAGATCTGTTCCTGTAGAGGAGGTTCGGCCCTATATCGGAGTCAAGTATATACATAATAGCACGCGTGCCCTCTAAGGCGGGAGGTGGAAAACAACGGGAAGGAGGGGGGCGAAAAAGCCGAGAGAGGACGGAGGAGGATCCAGGAGGGGGGTGGAGAATGAAAAGGGAAGGGGGGTAAAAGTCAGGGGAGGGATATGGGATGTTGCTGATTTGGAGAACTGCTGCACCTTCTCCCAATTTAGATCCTCCTCCTATGTAAAAATGTATGAGATTGAGAGCGCGGGAACAAGAAAGAGGGGGAAGAAAGGAAAAAGAAAAGGGGGAACAAAAAAGAAAAAACAGGAGAGAGCACGAAGAGGGCTCTGAGAGGTAGTAGTTCAGTGAGGAAAAGCCATCCATTTACAGGAGAGCCAATTGCCCCCCCACGCTCGCTTGCTGTAACCAATCGCACAAACAAGTGACATATCAAAATGATCCTAGATCATTGGCCTGATTAATCTGATAATAGTATAATGTATACTGGAGAGCTGAGAAATTGGAAAGGCAAAAAATAGTGAAAAGTGACCATATTCTACTTCTCTTGGCATTGGCACCGTAATGGAAGGTGTGGGGGAAGGCAAAAGGAAGAGGGGTAGGCGCAAAATTCGCTTCCCATGATTTCGATAGATGTAAGAGAAGGGGGGAAAAAAAAAGGAGGAGAGGGAAGAAGCGGAGGGAGGAGAAGGAGAGAGGGGGGAGGTGGGGCGGGCTGAGGGGAGACAGTGGCAAAGGTCCAGGGGGGTTCCCTCGGGAGCAGGTCAAAGTCTCAACCCATGGATCTCTGACTGCGTCTCTCCAGTGCCTTGCATGTTAACTAACATGATAATCAGTTAGGAGGTACACATGGTTTACATAGTAGAGGAAGAGAGAGGGTAGAGGGGTAGGTTATGGTATGTATGTGAACCCCCAGCCGTAAAGAAATGTAGCTGTAAGGTGACCCAGACAGCAACAGCAGGTCCGGCAATGGCGACATGATTGTCCTGTTCTGGGTTACTTGCAAAGATTTGTTGGAATCCATAGGCAAACGACACGTATAAAATTTGTTGGTATGTACAGAACCACTGTCTGTCAACCCAAGGCGAACGTCAGTGAAGAGATTAAGGCCTTCTATACTTAGTGTTAGAAACCAGGGCATTTAGGTCTCCAAGTACATAACTTATAGTAAGTATTGTGGATTTGGAATACGTAGCATTCAGTGGCCGATCTGTCCAAAGCTTTTGGTCGAGTATAATGCTACCACATGAAGGCAAGGGTATACTAGTAAATATCTGCATACAGGCTGCGGATGGTTTGTCTACAGAACCGGCACGAATATTACGTTAATCCGAATTACCCGTCCTCGCCTATCAAAACGATTCAAGAACAACGAAGACTGAAACGTGGGACCACAGAGGACCACACAGATAAGAACGAGAAAGGGAAACGAGGGAAAGAGGAAGAAGAAAAAAGAATAATGAGGGGAAAGAGGAAGAGAGAAAAAAGGAAAAGAGGGATAAGAGGAAGAGGAAACAGGAAAAAAGAGGGGAGGAAGGAGAAGGATGGAAGAAGAAAGGAAAAGACGACAAGAGAGACGAGAGAGAGCGAGAGAGAGACGGAGAGCAACGTGACCTTTGAAAGTTCGGCTAATTCTCGGTCTCTCTGGGCTGTATTTCTTGGACCGGGGGTGCCTGGCGTGAGACACCCCGCCTCATCCAACTATAACATCCACAACAAACACAAAAACCACATCTCGAAACACCATCTTAAAAATACACCCCAATCCCTTCACTGTATATATATATAAGTGGGACTTTGGAACACTGAGTAAGGGCACACAGGTGGAGATCCCCCCCAACCTGAGGTGCAGGGGGAGAGGAGAAGGGGGAGGGAGCGGGGGGATGGAGGGAACGGGAGTGAGGGGCAAGGAAAGAAGCATAAAACAAGGGGGAGACAGTACGGATACTTGGGAAAAGGGGGGGGGGAATCGGGGGAAGGGGAGAAAAAAATACAAAAAAAAAAAAACCCATGAAGAAGAGGGGCGTAAGGAGAAAAGGGGAAGAATCGGGAGAGGGAGAACACACAAAGGGAGGGAAACAAGGGAAAAGAAAGCCACGAAATCAGGCGAAACGAAAGAATAGGAATGACACAAAGGGGGGAGGCTAACACAATAACGATGTTTACAAGCCGGTGGGAGGGAAAAGTAATGGGAAGTCAGGCAGAGGGGGGGGGAAGCAAACAGGTCGGCCTCAGCTCGGGACGCTAGTTTGTTGGCCCTCTCCCGAGCCCTAGTTGTGATGCGCTCGTCACCCTCGCTCTAACGGAGGGGAAAGACGGCTCAGATACACACGCGTACAGCAGGATGCCGGAAGTTCGCGAAGTTCCACCGTTCTTTTTTTCGTCATCCGTCTCTCGACGTTCCTTCTCCGTCGCCATTAGCTTCAGTTGTCGGGAGACTCCCTCTTGGAGTGAGGTGCAGCCTTCACTTCTATATTCATCTGCGGGGTTTGTCGGCCTGTGGGCAAATGACCATCGGCTGGGGGGGAGCTTGTGGGGGGATGGTGGAGGAGGGGGGGCGGGGGGGGGGCCGGGGAGGGGGTGATAGAAAGAAAGTGAAAGATGAAGAAGAATCTCTTTCCTTATGTTCTTTGAATGAGAGACAGCAATAGGATGGAAGAGGAAAAAGAGAAAAGAATGAAAAGGAAAAAGAAGGAAAGAAAAGGAAGCAATAGTCTACAGATGTGGGAGGTGTGTGCCAACCCACCGGTGTGGCTGCCCTGAGGGTCCAAGGTGTATGCATCATAACTGTTGACTCACTTCTACTCTACTGGGAACTTTACATTGGGCAATATTGAGCTATTGGTTTCTGTGTTAATTTATGCCAACACCCCCTTTCCTGTGGGTGGAGGCATGGGGCATCCAGCCGGCATGGGTTTTGACCCGTGCTATTCGATGAATTATACAATTTGTAAGGACACCTAAATTATGGGAGTAAGTAATAGTGCGTTGCGTTAGTGTGTTGTGTGTGTATGGGAGAGGAAATAAAAGATGGCGATGCAGTCAGAGAGAAGCAGATTATCACGCCCTCACATCAATGCGTGCCATTTCACGTCCATAGTCCTAGATGTATGCCTCTCTCAGATCAATAATCTACAAAAACACAAGTTTGGTTACCACATACGTACAACTTTATAGGGGAGGAAAATTTTTAGCATAATTTCGTGGTTGTGAGCTCTCCAAATCTTTTTGCACGAAATTTTGTAGATTTTTTATGCATGCATGTGTAGCTCACTTCATTGAGTTTGAGTAGTGCTTCGTCTTTTGATGATTTCTTTCACTATGTTACTGAGAGTTTCAGCCCTGAGGGGGGGGTGAGGGGTGAAATATCAACAACACTCCAGCACTCGTATGTATATACTGTGCCATGTACAGTGGTTTGAGGTTTTGACGTGTTGTGGTGTGTGTTGTGTTGTAGATCGAACCCCTACCAGCTGAGTGCCCGGGTAGCTCAGGTGTAGACGCGCTCGCATAGACTGCAGAGTGTCGTGGTTCGAATCCACCCAGGGCAGGAAAGAAAGAGCTCTCCTGGGTGTAGTTGACTTGTTCGCCTGCCTTGCCTTTCTACCTCAGTACCAAGTGTGTGAGACGTGCACATATCATGTACACATTGCTACATGTGGCAGCCGTACCAAACCTATGCATTTTCCGCCACCTGCGTTCAGGGCTAAGAGGAAGCCAGTCGTGAGGAAATAGGTTACTATGGACGTTGTACGATAATTATAGCACATTCTAAGTGACTGCGAGAAACTACTAGGAACACCATACAGAGAAACATCTTCGTAAAACACGTTGGGACCGGACCTTTACACAGAGGGGTCCTTAATATATGCAGAAGTCACGACAGTGATACCACCACCAAATCGACACAACTGTCCTCAGGGACGAGGTGTCCTTACTCGGGGCGCCCCTTTATAAAGAAGGTGGTATATACAGCGTACAAGTGGTTAGTGTAGTGGCTAACTTGAAGGTTTCTAGAGATTGGAGCTGGTCCGCAGACAAGCCATTGGATGGACTGGGACTCTCTGTCGTGCCACTGTCTCGTCCAACTAGTAGATAAAAATTAAATCTAGCACTTGTTTTACACAGGACATAGTCGTTGAAATGTCACAAGAACCATGCCACTGCCGGGGTCGGTGAGCGAGAGCAGACTGCCAAGATCTACACCCTCGCAATATATAAACGAAACAGAGAGAGGGAGAGAGGGAAGAAGAGAGGGACCGGAGAGGAGGCTAAAGCCGAACCCATGCACTCAGTAACTCTGTCCTCTAGTTCATCTCTCTGGTTCCCAGACCATTTCTCCCTCCTCCTATCTCTCTCAGCCGGAGACAATCTCTCCTTGTAGCGAGAGAGAGAGAGAGAGAGAGAGAGAGAGGAGAGAGACGTGAGGGTGCGGGAGGGTGCATAGAGGAAGACGATATTAGGGGTAGAACCACGCGATCTGAAACTATCTGGATTACTACGAAGCAGACAGACGAGAGAGAGAGAGTGTGTGTGTCGAGAGAGAGAGAGTATGCGTAGTTGGACACAAGGCATACTTTGCGCTATATTGTGCAACGTACTGCATGGCTAGAGCCAAGTGACTGCACATGGGACCGAGTTGGAACCAGAGTAGAGAGGAGTTAAACTAGTGGCACAGCAAACAGACCTGTAAGTGGGAGACCTCATCCTGAGGTTCTGCTCGCAGGTGACCTTCTCAGCGCAGCTCGACCACCTGTAGCTTCAGAGCTCCGTCGCGCCTCTCGTCTGACTTGTCAAACTGCTCCGGAGAACCTGTATTTCCTGGTAACAGAAACTCACTTTTCAGCCCATCAGTAACTAGAGTAGTGTTGCAACTAGGTCTACTACACTAGTACATATGTCATGTTGGACTACAACTCTGACGGATGAAAAATTTCGTAACTAAAATTCGGCCCACCAACAAGATTTCGCTGCTGAACTATTTATCGCCGAAGCGACTATCACAAATCTATAATGTGTAAACCACTTTCACATTACAAAGGAAGTCGTAAAAATAATTTGCATCTCTCAAAAATTTAGGTGCCATGGTAATTGTAGCGCACCCTGTCCTTGTCAGAGAGTTTAGCAGCTGTCTCTTCCCTCCATTTCTCCCTCTCCTCCTGGTGCTCTCTGGCCTCCTCCTCGTGCCGCTGGTTCACTGCATCCAGTTCTGTTATAACAGCGAGAAAAAGTGGAAAAATTAGCAAAACCTTAAGAAGGCGAGATCTGAACAAACAATGGGTGCAACGTTTTTCTATTCAACAGCAATCGCGCGGGTGTCAAAGTGTAACTAGTGCATGAAGCTAAGGAAAGGGACTAGCAATCAGTCATTTGAATAGCGTGATTTTCTACAAGGTCCCGTCTGTACTGAACGCAATAGCACGTTAACTCGCCTTAAAACCGTACCGTGAATTGAACTACCAATAACGTTTGTTTCTTTCGTGAACTTTCGTTTATTGAGTAAACCCTGATTCAATTGCACACTCGTATTTTCTTGTCAATAATGTGTTGCATTCACTCTATGTACAGTCTTGCTGGATACACTAATGTATGAGCTGACCCTGTTGTAGTTGATCTATTCTGACGAGCAGATGTTGGTGGACATCCTCTTGAGTTAGACTGGACTGGAGATGAGAGGGGACCGCTGTAGGTCTCTGGGCAGGGAGGGAAGGAGAGAGAGAGAGAACAATGAAGTATTCTTCATTGGGTAACATTGGCCTGGGAGCTTGTGGTATAGCAACTAGAGGCACAGCATGTCTAGCGCCATACTCACCAGGTTTACGCTCTGTAGAGGGTGCGGCTTCTCCTCTTTATTCTTCTCCTTCTCTGCATCTCCCTCTGGTTTCTTTTCTTCCTCGCCCTCCCCTGGAAGCGGAGGAAGGGGTCCCACTGCCGGGGGCGAGCGGACTGCCACAGGCCCTCCTGGGAACTTTCGCGGAGAGAAACTCAGTCGCTCGGGCCCGCCAGCCGCTTCCTCCTCCTCCAACACCTTCTTCTTCAACTTGGCAAACATGTGGGCCCTCTCTCTCGCCTCTCCAGTCCTGCTTCGCGTTATATTCTCGCTGCACCGGCCCTCTCTCTTTCTCTCTACTCTTGTTGGAGTTTGAAATTACTTATAAGTACTTTTCGCTAAAATGGATCAACAAGGGTCAAAGGACAATCCTGCTCGCTGTCGCTTTGAAGAGAGCTAGCAGAAGCTTTGCTAGGATGGAAGTGAGTAACGGAGAGGAGGGGATGAGCATGGTGGTCATGGGGAGATACGGAGTCCTGTACACCAAGCCGCGGCCCAAGTCCGCGGAGACCTCGCCGAGGGTGATCGACATGCGGAGCGACACTGTGACTAGGCCCACGGAAGAGATGCGTGTAGCCATGTTCGAGGCGGAAGTCGGCGACGACGTGTTCGGAGAAGACCCCACTGTGGCGGAGCTGGAGAAGAAGGCCGCGGAGCTGCTGGGGAAGGAGGCGGGGCTGTTCGTGGCCTCGGGGACGATGGGTAACCTCGCGGCCATGATGAGCCACTGCTGGTCCCGCGGGGAAGAAGTGCTGGCAGGTGACCAGTCCCACGTGGTCCTCTTCGAGCAAGGAGGCGCTGCGCAGATCGGGAACTTCTTCCTACGGACGGTGAGAAACCTCCCCGACGGTACACTGGACCTGGAGGAGCTACGCAGCAAGCTTCAACCGGAGGGCAAAGTTGCAGGAGATCCTCACAAGACGATGACACGTCTGATAGTGGTTGAGAACACCCACAACATGATGGGAGGGAGGGTCATTCGCCCCGAGTATATGGACCGTCTGGCGGAGCTAATACGAGGGCTGGGGATTAGGATCCACGTGGACGGAGCACGACTTTTTAACGCCGCCACAGCCCTGGGCCTCCCTCCTGCCGAGCTAGTGAAACACGCCGACTCGGTCACGATCTGTCTCTCTAAGGGTCTGTCTGCTCCCGCCGGCTCGGTTCTGGTCGGAACCGCCCATTTCATCTCCCGTGCACGCAGAGTCCGCAAGTCTCTCGGAGGAGGAATGAGGCAGGTCGGTGTCCTCGCTGCCCCGGGGATTATTGCCCTGGAGAAAATGTCACAGCGACTGGAGATCGATCACAACATGGCCAAGTTTCTCGGGCGAGGGCTGGTCTCCATGAGTGATCTGGGTGTCGACCTGGATTTGGAGGCAGTCGAGACAAACATCGTGTTCTTTGGACTCCAACGCTCCGACATGACGGCAGAGGATTTCGTAGCTCGATTAGAGAAAGAGGGCGTTGCTAACGGTGACAGGGTCATTGTGAAGATGCTCCCCGCACGTGTGGCCTCGGGAGAGGTCAAAGTCCGCGCCGTCTTGAATCACCACGTCACCCACCAAGGTGTCGAGTGTGCACTTATTAGAATAAGGGAGATACTGGCAAATAGAGGTGGAAGAAAGCGAAAACAAGAAACTTAAAACTTTGATCAAATAGTGTGTGTTATGGGTAAAAAATTTTATAATACAGAAAAAAATATTGGCTGTTACATAAAAATAAACTGACTATGACTGAATTGTGGATGAGAGGCCGTGTATAATTTTATTGCCCAATGAGAGGAGACAGAGTAATAATTGCCTAGTAACGTGCTCTGATGGTGAGAGACAAGCCATCGTCGCCCTCGAGCTGTTTTGTAGTCCATATCGACACTCCGTTCTGAAAAGAGCTGTAGCCAATTCTGCAGGTGAGTTCGGGAGAAATGGACACGAGAGTGAGCGAAGGGGAAAATAATTAAGCAACATTTTTTGAGATGACTGGTTTTCTCACAATTTCAGTTTACCCACTTAGAAGAGAGAGCTATATAAACCCCAGCTAACCTGACTCTCCCTCCCATCACGATTTTACCCATGTTGACTATTGAGACATTTTGCAGATTGACACACAAAATTTATGCAACACGCAGACTTTTTGAACCCTGAAAAATTGGTGTTAAACAGCCGTCCCCAGACCCTCTCCCTCCTCTGCGCAATCTATTGAACCAGTCACATGCAATTATGCATTGTGCATAATGGAGTTTGGAGAGAGGCTTAACATGCATTGTGCATGGAGGATGGGGAGTTTGGAGACAAGGCATGGAATTATGCATTGTGCATATGGAGGATGGAGAGATTGGAGACGAGGCATGGAATTATGCATTGTGCATATGGAGGATGGAGAGATTGGAGACAAGGCATGGAATTATGCATTGTGCGATGGGGAGATTGGAGACGATGTTTGTGGGACTTAGAAAAAAGGTTTCCAAATTTGGAGTGACTCACAATCCTTTGTCAGGAGCAACGACTGAAGTGAGAGGTCCAGCACCTGATTCGATTTCACTGTGGAGACACTCTGTGTGTACATAATATACAGCAACACACATAATCACGGATGGAACAATAGGTGTCAGAGTCACAAATACACAGAATCACACAGTATGAACAGTTCCTTACGTACATCGCTACGTACATCGCTACATACACATACAGAAGATCATGCAATTCAGATGACTATATAGGTAGGTGGGCTCGCTTTGTTCACCACAATCATACCGTGGAACGCTCGATAATAATGCTTGGACTATGAAGATTGTCCTCAAGACAACAAGTGTTCAAATCTGTGCGTGCGTTCAATCTCTGTGTGTGTGTGCGTGCGTGTGTGTGTGTGTGTGTGTTGTGTGTGTGTGTATTATGCAAACCTCCAGTTTCTCTGTCCCATATTTTGAGTACAGAATCACTTGCTACTGATGCTATCCTGCAGAATGGAAGAGAGTAGTAGGTTCAGCTTCATAACGTGTATGTATATATATACATATTGTAACAGGAAATGTGCACATGATACTATACAGTGGAACCTCACTATTCCAACCATACTTGGGCACTGAAAAAGGGGCTGCATTAGTGAGGCATTGTTGTGTAATCGTGTAGTGAGAAGTATATACTCACAAGTGTTCCTCGGTGTTGTCACGGTAACTGCAAAACATGCAGCTCTGGACGCTCTCAGAGTGACCTTTGTACTCTCTCAGTGGCTTTCTCTCTTTCCTTCTGTCCCACACCTATAATCACGTTAACACGTCAAAAACTGCACACTGCATCCGTTCTTTGCTAGAATACTGAAATGTATTGGTGTTTATGGGGAATGTGGCAGTATAAATGGGCTAAATTTAGAAAAGTTACTAAAGATAGAACGAACCCAATTAGGGGCACAGTGAAAGAATGCAATTGAGTCCCGTTTTTAGTAAATTTAGTCCTTACATATATACTGCCACATTCCCTACTTGATGTGCACTGAATGCCGTCTTTATAATGGCTGTACATGATTAGATTACAATTACACTACTGCACCGTGTCATAAATGTGCACATTGACTACTAATACATTTGATAGTGAGTGTGTGCATCAATACTGACCGTTAGCTCCGCCCCTTGTCCCTGGGACCCACTGCTCCCAGCCAGAAGATACTGGCCATCTCTCGTCGCTCCGCAGCACGTCTGAAACACACAGACACACGCTACAGTCCATTCACGTTGAGAATGCATGTTGATTTTCTCAAATAACCATTACTCTATTTTCCAGTGTGTGGTACCATTTTGTACCTCTTCAATCTCCCGTTCATTCTGTCTTAGTTTGGTACAACCATAGTTCTTTTGTAGAAAAAAAACCTCCTTTGTAATGTACATATGGCAAAGTTTATTCTCAACTTGAACACACACTATAACACAACCACACCTCAGACACAACAGTCCGTCCGTGTCCACAGACCGACACTCAAGCTACTATATACATACGTACACCTGCGGCCACTTATACCAAAAGTCCCTTGAATAAACACGACACTGTTGTCGCAGCTCCCCTCGGATCATGCAGTTAGTCAAATGCATTACGTTACATGAACCACACTCTCAGCAGGCCATATATACAGCCATGTAATGTATACAACTGGTTTTCCAAAAAAAGCGGTTTTACATAATTATGTAGGTCGTAACAAAATACCTGCTTGGCCGAGGGTATGCATTTGGTGAAAAAAGCAGCCTCAATGATATGTACCTCCCAATACTAAGAACTCCCAATACATTACCTGATAGTGGTTGAGAACACCCACAACATGAGAACACCCTAGCCAAGGTTCTAGTAAATTATCATTCTTGAGAGTCCCTGTGACGCGAGGGTACATATGTACCTGGACGTGTTGCTTTGGCTTGAGCTGCTGGGCAACGCAGCAACTACGGAGGTCCCACACTCTCAGGGTCTTGTCCTCGCTCGACTGAACCACAGCCTTCTCTCCCTCGATCCACTTCAGCCCTGTTACCTGACAGATACACACACACACACACGCAGGAGTAAACTATGCGTTTGGGGTTTGCCTTTGTTGCTGTATTGGAGAGTAAACTTTGTGCCCTGCATTCTTGGCTAGGGGGAATAGTATCGTGGGTTCGAGTCACACCCAGGGCAGCTCTTGCCAGCCTAGGTCCTTGGTGTAGTTGAATATGCATGCACATGCCTTGCATTGTGCACCCGTCATGTACCACTCACAGCTAGACCTTCACACATTCACACAGCATATGTAGCATAAAAATGTAATTCCCCCTTCCTCCCCATGCCGCCACAAGCCTTATGATGTCAGAGTGAAGACCAGCAAGTGAACGAACGGACTAAACGACATGCCATCTCTAATTTCGCTAATTCTCCACACGTTTTTCTCTGGCTCTGATCTGGATCAACCTGCGAGACAGTGTGGGTTTCCCAGGCATGCAGAGAACGCTGCGTACGTTTCATACAGAGGAGGGGAGGGGGGAGGAGGGGAGGGGGTAAGAAGAAGGAGAAAGAAGGGGAGGTGGATGGGAAGAGGAAGGGGGAAAGGAAGAAGGGGTATGGAAGAGGGAGGGAAGAGATAGGGGAGATAGAGGGGAACTGGAAAAGGAGAGAAGGTGAGGGGAGGAGGAGAGGAAAGAGGAGGAAGGGAGAGAGAGGGAGAAAGAGGGAGCTAACCAGGTTTCTTGGGATCTGCATCGAGGAAATGGGTCGACCCATATTGAGGTCCCACAGACAAATGGAATTGTCGCGAGACCCGGAGCAAAGGACGTCCGGGTGATCTGAGGGGTCGGAGAAGAAGGAAAGAGAGAGCCAGCTCAGCTTTTCATGTCTTCATAATCCATACGTGTCTTTATGGATTGCTGCATACAGAGCAGCACGCTGCTCCACACATCGTTTACCTAACAAGCCTCAATACACAACGGCAAAGGAACAATATCTTGTCGGGCAACACGAGAAAACAATGACAAGACAGTGCAGCAACCACACATACATAAACACACAAGGCAATGACAGTACGTATAGAGTAGAGTACAGCGTTGTATTGACGTTTTGACATGCACTATAATAATGAACGAGCTTGATATTATGTTATTTACTACACAATAGAAAGAAATCACACTCGCCCTAATCACACTGTCTTTCCAACACACACACACACACACACACACACACAACAACAAAACCCACTGCATTTGTACAAACAAATATGTATACACACAAGTACACATGTACGCAACTATACATAGTCACTATAGGTGCCTAGCCTTGTACATTAGGAGACCATTGTTTGCGTGCAAAACACGCAGTCTCTATTTGCAGTAGGTGAGTCAAAACTGAAGCGTTGAACGTGGACAAACGAAACTGAAGTAGGTACTTGAGAATTTTGCCCTTACCATTACTGACTGCCAGTGCCGTCACTCCCAGCGTGTGGCCCTCAATGGTCTTGTCCGGTTCGTCAACGGTCCGGTACGGCACGTCACGGGTGGGGGGTGAGGTACCGTTGGGTACGGACTCACCGATCTTCCAAGTGTAGATATTCCTATCTCGGGAACCGGCGATAACTAGTTGGGAATCCGGCAGATAAGCAACCTGAAATATAAAAACACCCTTGTTTTTTTCAAGAGTATAGCCGCAATGGAAAACTAACTATGAATAGACAAGACAAACTCTCCTACACTGCCTACAAAAACTGCACATGTGGAGATGAGGGTAATCTGCCTAAAGTAGATTACTATATATACAGTGGAGCCCTTCTCTCTAATGACACCCTTGAAATGAGGCCACCTCTCTAATAAGGACACCTTTCTTTTCCAAACTTTTTTTTAAATGCAATTTTTCAACCACTGACAACAAGGACACCTTACTAACTTAGACCCTTTATTTTGTCCAATTAATGTCTGGATTAGAGGGGTTATGATTTACTACTACCTAACGACATGTTCAAGCTTATATATATACACCCAAGCACTTTACCGAGAAATTTCTCACATAGACTGCAGCCCAATAAGCGAAGCCTCCCACTAGTCTTCTCACAATATATCCCTTTACGACCACTACATGTACAAATTGCTCAGATTGTATCCCGGGAGAAACGTACGTACGTACAGCACTTAACCAATTTAAGCAGCGCTCCTTGCAAGTAGGCGTACCATATCGGGTTGCAGAGTACAAGTTGGACACTAAATAACCAGAGATTGTCATTACTCTACAGAGTAATACATATTATCCTACACTTCCCTCCCATCGCCAGCCCCCGTGCTTCAGCTAACTCAGTATGATGCTGTTTTGCCGTTGGTTTATTTACCTGACTTATGTCTTTGGTAGGGCCCTTGAATCTGGCCCTTAGTCTGTGGTTAGTCCATGAATAAAGCACCACCTCCTAGAGAGAGAGAAGAGAGAGAGATAGAGAGAGAGAGAGAGAGAGAGAGAGAGAGAGAGAGAGGAGAGAGAGAGAGAGTAGAGAGAGAGAGAGAGTGAGAGAGAGTGTGTGTGTGTGTGTGAGTGAGATAGAATATGGAGAGAGGAACATATGTTTGAACCATATCGATTCACGAGACTTGCTTTGTGACCGACAAATAGTGTGTCTCTAACAAAGAAGAGTTGGATTCAAGTGAAGTACTGTGGGCAAATAGTGCCCTTGCTCCGGTATGCCCCACCCATGTCAACATGGCTCCTGTAGTCATCCAGACGTGCCTAATGGCACGTAAAAACGCTCTACTAACCAGTCATGCACGGTCCACGAGGCTGGCTCAGCTGAGCTAAAACCGAAAGAGGTAATATGCATCCAAAGCACGTAACATGTGCTAACTTGCTAACCCGGCCCAGTCAAAGAGAGACGAGGAATCTACCAGCTAGTGAGAGACTCACTTTGTCGGCGCCACAGGAGAGCAGATGCTGATGGTCAGCCACGGCCAGACTGTGGATGGGCCCGGCGTGCAGGTCACGCGGGAGCTCCTGCGCACCCTCGCCACCCGCCGACTTCACGTCGTAGTTGGAGGAAGACTCTTGTTGCCTCGATTCTCCAGCACCCATGGCTCGCTCGGCTTTTTGCAGAGCTCTGCGATCCTATCTGTGCCCAGCATGCAGCCTGCTGCTGGGTGTGCGCGCGTATAGAAACCGGACATCCTATTTTGATAGGCGGAGTCTGCGCATGCGTGTAAAATGCATGCTCTTAGAGTCGTGGGCGCTAAAGCGTAAGCGCGCGATCCGGTGACATCGCCCAGGTCACTCCCATGAGCATGCATTCAAGGGGATAGACCGTGGCTTTCCCCCCGCCCTGCGCGAATTACAAAGGCGGCCAACACCAGATCGAAAGATCGAGTGAAAGTCTACGAGTACGTGCGTCAGTAGGCGCACGGAAGGGTGACGGCAGTTTGTTTATTTTTCCTCCACCGTTCGCCCGATCGGCAACGGGGAGGTGATGGACGCTAGAAAAAGATGGAGTTCAGGCGTTGTCTGAACCGCCTCTCGAACCAACTCTCCAGGCAGAACCTGGAGGACATGAAGTTCGTCTGCAAGGATCACGTGCCAGTGGCGCGGATGGAGCGAGTCCGCAGCTCCCTGGACATATTCCAGGCCCTCGAGGAACGAGGCAAACTCTCGTCCAACGACACCGCCTTCCTCGTCAAGGTCCTTGTCAGTATCGAGCGCTCGAATCTCGTCCCTGAGCTCGTTTCGGCAGGGTTTGCCCACCAAGAAGCTCTCCAACGAAACCACACCTCGGCCGCTCCAGCACCCCCTCTGCAAGGGGGTGTACGTCCACACCAACACCCCGGCCCTCCGGTACAGAGCCGGGAGCTAGTGTTCAACGAAATGCTCCTCAAGATTGCGCAAAACCTGAGCGCGAGAGACGTCGAAGCGCTGACCTTCACGCTGTGCGACTCTCTCCTGGGGATGAATGCTGACAGGGTGTCCTCGGCGACGCAGCTGTTCCAGCTTCTCCAGCAGCGGCAGATCGTGACTCCCACCAATCTCCAGGCCCTCTACAACGAACTGGAGAACATTGGCCGCAGCGACCTATCTAAGAGGATCAACAACTACCTTGATGAAATTGGCAAACCACCCTGTCAGCCCGGCATGGATGAAGGTCAGAGAGGGGGGCAACCAGGTTTAGCTAAACCAGGGAAGGAGTGGGTTACCCTCACTTTTTGCCCTAGTTTACTTAAAATAGGTGTTTTAAAGCTTTTGGGGAGTCAATATGTGACATGATACATGCACAAGTAGTCAGTGCTTCATTGCTAAAACCCTGACAAAGGGGAATTCCTTACACTATGGTATATAGGAGGGGGTTTTTGTGGTTCCCCACCTGTGGGTATCACATTGCATCAACTCTGCACTTTCTTCCATATAAGAAAGTTGGGGGGTGAAACCTATTGCTATACCTCATGAGACAATAATTCTCTCCAGATGGTGCTCCAGTAAATGGGGGACTCCCACCAGTGTCCAGAATGACCATTGCCCCGACTGAAGAGACTCAGTACCCGCGGCATTTGACGTCTGCCCCACCCCCTCCCCAACACGCACAACCACCAGCGGACCACTACAACCACCGCTACCAACAACAGTACCCTGCCACCACGGACCAAACGTACCACCACCACCAGTCCTACCGTGTCACGGAGGGCGGCCAGCCTATCAGCTCGCCCAGCGACACCGCAGGATCCACTCTGACGTCGATGGCAACCGGCACGTACATCTCCGGCCCTGCCTCCTCACAGATATCGTACCCAACTTCCGAGTCTTCGGCCATGGACCCCGAGTCCATGAGAGCCCAGAGTGGAGAGCACGATCATCACGCGCAGCGACAGCAGTGGAGTTTTGTCCCAAGCCAAGTGTACCCGATATCCACCCGACCTGGCCTCTCTGTGGCGGAAACTGGGGGACACGACGTTCCACTGCAGGACCAACCGCTCGGTCTCTCATTCGACGCAAACGAAGACGACAAGCAGAGAGAGAGGGAGGAAGGGGAAGGAGGGATTGGGTCGGAGATGAGCAAAATTGAGCTCCAAGACCTCCAGAAACAGTGGACGCAAACACAGGAGCTGCTCATGGCAAAGGAGCAAGAGCAGAAACAGCTGAACGAAGACCTCGAAAACCTTCAGCAATATACGGCAAAGATAGTGGAGGAGAAGGAGGGCGAGAGCGTGCAGTACGAGGTTAACAGGCGGGAGCTGGAAACGGCGCTCCGGGTGAAGATCAAAGAGATCGAGGTGCTGCGTCAGCAGGTGCAGGGGCTCCAGAAGGCGCCGCGACAGCTCCCCACCGAAATGAACCCCGAGGAGTTCTATATTCTCAATAAGAACCCGCACGGGGTTTGCCTCATCATTAACAACTACCAATTCTACCACGATACCGACCCCAGCAAGGCTCACCCCGATCGCGGGGGAGCGGAAATCGACCAGTACAACCTCACCCAGACCTTCCGCTACCTCCGATACAAGGTCGAAGTTCGCGAGAACCTCACTGCCGACCAGATGACGGATTATCTCCTGCGAATGAGTCAGCGAGACCATTCGGGTTACGACAGCTTCATCTGTTGCATCTTGTCTCACGGGGAACACAACATCATCCACGGAGCCAACAGCGAACCGGTCAACGTGGACGACCTCACTGGCGTAATGAAGCTCTGCACGTCGCTGCGTAACAAGCCGAAGCTGTTCTTCATCCAGTGTTGCCGTGGCGAGGCGGAAGAGGTCGGATTCGAGAAAGACAACCCGGGGGACAGCACGTTTCGCTCCACGATCCCCCGTGACACCGATTTCTTTCTCGGATATGCGACCCCCCTGGGTAAGGCGGCGTACCGTAGTCGGAAACACGGGTCGTGGTATATCTCTGAGCTCTGCAAGGTGTTCACGCAGTACGGCTACCACAATTCGCTCAGCAGTATGATGAGGAGGGTGAACCTGCAGGTGTCCAACGCCTTCACGAAGGACGGATACAAACAGTGCTGCGAGTTTGTCGACAGGCTACGCAAGGAGGTCCACTTTTTCTATTTCATTCGCAACAGATCCAAGTCGTCCCAGTAACAAGCTTGCCCCCATCTTTTCACACACACACACGTTCGTGTATACTATATAGTAGCATAGTTAATGTGCACTAAATAGAATTGAGCTGGCTGTTTGGTTGTAGTTCACTTTGTCTGAAAAAATTATATTGACACACCACAATTAAGTGTGAAAATAATCATTATTATACTACTTTTTACATTCAGGATATACAACAACAAAAATCATCATAAATATGCACTTGGTGTAACACGTTCATCAATTTGCACCAAGAAACATTGTTCAGGATCACTGTGAGGAAAACTTGAAGCGGAGTCCGTATCTGAAACTGGACGTAATCTCGGCACACTGCCGGGCCTCTGAAGACCCAGCAACCAGTCTGTGTGGATCTCCCTCGCGGATGACTCCATGGGCATCGCACACTTCTCTGTTCACCTCGTGCATGAGGGCAGAGAGGGTGGCGTTGTGGCGGGCGGGGCTGGTGAACACCCGGTGGAGAGTGCTGACAAACCAAGAACCCGTCGAGGGATCGCGGAAGGAGGCAGAGTTGGGAGTCGTCGCATTTGCAACGAAGATGTCTGCGTCTTGTTTGGGAGCGTCTGGTTGGTAGCGAGTCAAGTTCTCTGTAGTGGGCGTCGAGCTGGGTTTAGTGCGACAGGCCTGCAGGAAAAACATCTTCGGTTTTTCAAGCAGTGTCGCGGATTGCTTCACGGCTTGAATCAGCTCTACTCGCTTCACTCCGACGCTGTCTGCACCATACACGTTCTCCTCATCACCGTGTGTCGATATGCAGCAAACGAAGCTGTCGTGAGCGTCGTGGTTTTCCGCGGACACTTTCGCGATAACCTGGTGCATTTGAACACTGGTCAGATTGGGGTAGGCTTCCACTGAGTAACCGAGGTGTTCAAACGTTTGCCTGAAGAGGTCCATGTCTCTCTTGGCTCCCGCTCGTGGTCGAAGCACTAGTTCGGAATTAGGGGTAAAGGTGTCGTTTACGATGACGATGGCTTTCCCGTGAGGAGGGACGGCGTTCATGTGGTACATCTCGGCGTCCTCGCCTCTCTGGAGCTGTCCGTCCAGCAGCTCGACCTGCTGGCGTAAGGCACTGACTTCCTCGTTCTTCCGCCTCAATTCCTCCACAATTTCCCGGCTGTTTTCCGCGTGAAGTCGCTCGTGTTCCAGTTGGTCTTCCAGCTGTCGTACTCTCTCCACTGCCTCGGTTCTCTCCCGCTGGAGCTGCTGCGTGTGTGTACGACGTGGCAACTCAGAGCTGTCGACCGCGTGGTTCACGGAGCGACCGGTTTGCAGACCTACCAATTTCCCCACGGTACCCCCAACAGACTGAGCCACACCATCTTCAGGCTGGCCTACTGAGGCAGCCTGTTGCTCTATAGGGGGCACCCTGCGGTGGGTGTTCCCCCCGGCCACCAACATCCGACTGCTCTGCCCCGCCCCCTGTTCAGACACCGGGTGGGCATGAACTGAATCAGTGAGTCCGGACTTGAAACGCCCGGATTGCTGCTGTTGGGGCTGTCGGGGGAGGTTCACCGGTCGTGAATCGCCCACTACCTTCCCTTCCGAGCTATCGAACGAAAAGTTGCTGGACAAAGAGTCCCTGCTGGAGTCCAAGACAAACTGTCGATCTCTGTACACACCACCGCCTTCCACATGCACCCCTCTCCCACCTCCCCCACTTTGATCGCTCCCGTCTGACACGCCTGACACACTGTCCATGTACTCGTTGATCTTGTCCCGCAGGTCTATTCGCCCAATGGCCTCCATGACCCGCCTCATCTCGCCGAGATCTGTCGGAGAAATTATCTTCTCCTGTTTGAGAATCTGAAACAGCCCCGCCGGGTCGCGGAGGCACTGGACCTCCTGCGCGCTGAGCCCCGTCACTTTGCAGCTCTGGAAGAAGTAGGCAGCGTGTTTCAGGTCTCGCTCGGGGAGCTCACTGCCAAGCGAGACGAGGAACGAGTTGAATTTGATGGTCAAGGGGTCCGCCGGATCGAGAGACGGGGGTCCGCTCGTGGCGGTCTCGTATAAACCCCCGTTCTCGTGGCTGGCCGGGTTGGCGATGGCTTCTTTCAGTTGTTTGACGAGGTGGCCTTTGCTCACGGAGTCCAAGATCATCTGCAAGAAGTCCAGGTTGGTGGGAGAGAGGAGATTGACGTCCTCCAGGGCCGAGAACAGTTGGGAACCCGTGGTGATACCCTCCACGACCCGCCTCGTGAGTAAGTCGGTGCACAAGAACTTGAGGTTCTTCACGTCGGCGTTGGTGAGTCGGTTGGATATGTTGAACAGCTGCTTTCTGAAGACAAACGACGGCCGAGTACTTGCAGACATCGTGAACCTTCTCCTAGATCCAGAAATATTGAAGGTGGATGATCTAGCTAGCTAGCTAGGGATACCGAGAAGGGCGAGCTTGGGGGAAATCCCTCTGCGCATGCGTCACATCATATTTGGTGCGCTCTAAATGGAGGAATCGCCGCTGGAGAAGAAAAAACGTTGGAGAAAGATACTTTACGAGAAGCAGGATTATCCTGACAACTACGTGGACAAAACGCAGTTCCTGAACGGTCTGAAAAAGAACTGTAAGCGACCAAAAATTCTGAAAGAAAATCTGTGTATAAAGATTGGCTCCTGACTGCTTTTATATGCAGTGTATACGTGAGCCATATAGGACTGTGTGCGATAGTGATACGCGGGTCTGGAGGTTGTAACCAGGAACTCAGCGAGTGTACTGCTCTGAGGTCTCACCACGGTCCTGGCCTGCAGTTAGTGAGTCAAACTCGTCTGTCTGTCGTATGGTCCGCACGTGTGGGTGTCTTGGTGGGTGATCGTACTGGTGTGTGCATGAGAGATGGCTGTTCTCGCCCGCTCCTTCTGCCATCCGGCTCCCGGCGGCATCTGCTTCCTTACTGGCTGCGTGGGTACAGTCCTCCTAGCTGGCTGGAGAGACAGACCGGAGGCGATCACAATGAACGTAAATAGGTAGTGTATCTAGTATATATATATATATCTCTTTTAATATGGCAGAGCAGAAAACCGTTCATTTATGAGAATTGGAGTTTGATTGCTATAAAAAGTACTCGAGTCTATAAAAACCAAAAACTCAAATTCACGGTCGGTGATCGAGACACATGAAACTGTTCTTGAAATCTGACCCTTTACACTCAGTAATTTCCATTTCACCCGCAGTGGTGGTGAGTGAGTATGTGAAGCCGTCGGCCATCTTTGTCTGCTTCCTGGTGGCCGTGTCTCCAATTCTCAAGACATTGACAGAGTCCATCAGCACCGACACCATATGGGCCATGACGGTATGTATGGAACACAAAAACCATTAAAGAATGTGCTATGTACTTGCGAGAAAAAATCTAGTAGAAAAATCAATTGTGCATGTCCAATCTCAAACTGCAACAATTTTCACCAAAACATTTTTCAGTCTATACTTAGACTGTGTATAATAATAATATGTTTCTGCTGTAGGTTGGCATGCTGTTAGTCCATCTGGTGTTCTTTGACTATGGGAGTCATGGGCCAATGTAAGACGTCGGATTTATCATTTGTGTGTGGCTATATAACTGTTCCACACCCCACACCACTTTCCTCCTCCTCCTCCCCCCCCCTCTCTCAGAGTGTCCAGCTCCATATCCCTGAATGCCTCCATCTTCTCCTCAGTCTGTCTCGCCTCTCGCCTCCCATCCTCTCTCCATGCCTTTGTCGTCGTGTCCCTCGCTGTCCTTGTCTTTGCTCTCTTCCCAGAGTTCAGAACTAGATTCAAGGTATTCGTTCCCTCGCTGATATAAACTTCACACATCAATGCATGACATCTGTAGCAAAACTTTTATCGATTGTGTAGCAAAATTTCCATTTATAATTTTCGGTGAGGAATTTTTAAAAAGAGTAGTTTGTGTAGCAAAACTTTCATCAAATTGTTCAATGCTTTGTGAACCGTAACTTGTGTCTTTCGATGGTGTGAATGATGGTGGATTTCCTACTTGATCTATTAGGGCTATCATGCAGCGGTGTTTCCACTGACAACAGTGGCAATGGTGGTCTTCACTGTAGCCATTCTGAGTGCCATCTCCCTGGTGGGTGTGGTCTTGTACGTCCTGGCCGTCCTCTCCATCACATTTCTCTGTCCTCTCCTCTTTGTCAGACTACAGCACCTCAAGAAGTGAGCCACACTTCTGTGGTGAATGTTTTACGCCTCTCGTTTTTTCCGTCTCCCTCCAGCAATATTTATGGCCCCTGGGACGAAGCAGCTATCAATTTGTGATAAACGGACCGAAATTTTTTATTACTCGCGCATGCGCGTTGTCGGAATAGAGTGTGGGCGTTAATTAGAGAAGCACACGTGTGTTTTGTGGGAGAAATGGTGTTTACTCGCTCCAAAGCGCGCCAGCGGGCCCGCAGCGATGCCCAGTCGGTGCCTTCAGACACTGAGACGCCAGAGATCTCGCGAGAAGCTGTCGAGAAGCGAGCAAAAAAGTCCGCGATAAAGACGAGGAAGGCGGTCATCAGAATATCTCCAGTTACCTCTCCAACTAAGCAACTTAGGCCCGCTTTCGCGCACTAAGAGCCGCCAGACTACGACCGAGGAGGAAAACATCGATG